CAATCATATTTATATAGTCCAGTACTATAGCTATAGGGCATTGTAAAAGCATATGCTTTAAAGTGGCATTGTCCTTATTACATCTCCAACAAAATGCTGGTTATGACAATCTTTTTCTATGCAAATGTAGTGGAAGCCAATAAATTCTAAATATTAATTTTTGTTGTATAAGTCATAGTTTAAGGTCCATTGACATTCTTGCTGTAGAAGTTAAGACACTCTCCCATTGTCTAGGCAATATAGAAACCTCTAATTCTTTATTCCACTCATCCCTTAACATCTGCATCTCAAGTTGATTTATTGATAACAAGTATCTATCAAAGCTAATTGTAGGTTTTTTAGTTGTAAAGGGTTTAACAAGTTGTTCTAGTATCTCAGATGTCTCGGAAGCTGAAAATGCTGCTGGTCCAAACAAGTTTTAACAAATGTTGTAGCTGTAGATATTGCCATTGGGATACATCTGATAGATGATACTTATCTCTTAACACAGCATATGTTAAAAATTCATCTTCATCATCTGTCAATTGGTCCAGAGTCAATATCCCTTCTTCCATCCAACTTTTCCATATCACCATATTTTTCCCAATTTTTAATGTTGGGTTTCCCCATACAGTCCATTTAGCATGGAAAAAAGGATTGATTTTTTTTTATCAGACATTCCATTCCATAGCTTTCTAACTCACATAATCATTTCCAAAGATATTAGAGCTCTGTTATATTTAAATCCTAATACCGTCTGTCCAATCCCTCCCCTCCTCATGTCCCAGTGAATTAGGGAGGCTTCTGCCTCATCACTGCTGAATGTTATCTTGTTCTGGACTAAAAAATGTTTCAGCCCTTTTTGCCTAGGTAATGGTTCCTGTATATCTCCATCAAGGTAAACTGCCTTACTCTATACATGTAGCAATTGAGGTGTATCTTTTATTCCTGTATTTCACTATTAAAAACCACTTCTATGTCTAAGGTCAAATGACTAATCTTAGTCTAAAGGGTTTTTAAAACAAGTAATAGAAGAATGTCAAGTATAATTTCTTTTTCTGAAATCTGGCGCACATCATGTATGTTGGGACTACACCTTCCAAAATTCTGGGGGAAAAAAGTTAGAGGGGAGATTCAGAAACAGAACTAATTTGCCCTTTTATGAATGGGTAATGTGATCATCAGATTACATGCACAGAACCAAAGATCCAATGGGCTGGATTCAAAGGTTGTCTTATGTCTGTGGGAACCGACTTAAGCTCTAACCCAATTATTTGCATAGGCTACTATAAGATCTATTTTGTTTATTCTTCTTCATGAACTCTACAAACCTAATTTGTCTCTTTTTTTTCCTTATTCATTCTTCCTGATTGGGATTTATCATTGTATACTTTATTCTTTAAAATCAGATTGTTAATGAATAATCCATGAATAATAGTTAATATCCTTGGATTGCTCCCGTTGATGGAAATAGCTCCTCGGCAAACCTTTCTTACTACTGCCTTTCAACCCTCTAAGAATATATTCCAGGTTGTTGGAAGACACTGCTGGAACAATTATTTAAGGGAGCTGTATTCAAGGGAGAAATTTTAGCCAATTTGATTTTTCTACTCTCTTCCTTGATCCTTGGGTATGAATAGATGGAAACCTTTTTATGTAGCTTAGGTAGCACCCAAGTGACCCAGTACAGATATGAATACTGAGAACAAGAACAGAGTGAAGAAGTGACAGTTTTTTAAAATTTGCTTTTAAATTACACTCCATCCAAATTCAATGGCTTGTTGGCAGGATAAAAAGAAAATCACTACTTAATTATAATCACATAAATATTTTACTCATGGGCATCTATGGGGAAAGGGAGCAAGTGCTGTCACATTCACTGTGATGTCATCCATGCAAATGATATGAATTACATACTGCATTGCACTTGAATCATGTGATTCTGATTCAAATTACATCTTTGCATTGATTGTTTGATGACATTGTGGTGTGTGTGATGGCATCAATGTTTCTACTGGACACCTGTTACTCTACCAGTATATATGAGTGAACTTATATTAAACAGTTCTAAACAATAAACTGAAACTATGACATCTCTACATACCTTATGAAAAGTATGTATTTCAGTGGGATTAACATTTTAGTCTGAGACTGTTAACTTTATCCCTCTCTGATAGCCAGTCAGTTATAGGAAATGTAAGAACCTATTTAATACTGAGCCACCCACAAATCCATTTGTCCCAGTATTGTTAATGCTGGCTGGCAGCAATTCCTGAAAGCATCAGCAAGTGCTATGGTGATGGGTAACAAAATGGGATCAGTAGGTGCTCTCTAGTTGCTAGTGAGGCTGTGGCCTCTTTTATATTTATTACATATAGGGAGAAATGTAGGTAATACCTTTGGAGGTACACAATGATAATAACATTCAAACTGAAATCTCTGTATGGATTTTGACTCCTTTTGAAGTATACTGCATATCTAAATCCTGCTGGCTGATACCTCTGAATAGTCTGTTCAGAAACAAATACACACTTCAAACCATTTTGGACATATGTAGATATATTTTGTTTTATGCTACTTAATAGTAATGCAGATAGCCCACCTAGTCCATATTAAACAAGTTGTACAGAATTGCAAAACTGTTATTAATCCAAAACACTTGCTTTTTGGGGGGTGGGGGGTGGAGTGAGATTTCTATTGTTAAATTAAGCAATAGTGTGAAAAGCATAGTGACTATCCCTGACTCTGTTTCACTGTGAATGTCCTAAAATGTTCAATACAGTTTGCTTCTACATTGTGTAAAAAGACATGCCAGGTAGGGATTTGAAGCAAGGGGCTTCAAGAATTAATAAACAAGAAGCTTCTAGCCATTCAGACAGTGAGGTCAAAAAGTAAGGTTGCTGAAGGATGTATCCTTCAGAACCCTGGACAGGTCCTAGGGAAGCCGACTACTAATAAGGACTAGTTGCAACTGAATTCTCAGGAACAGAAATGAAGAATTCATAGGTACCCCTCATCCTGGCCCCAGCCTCCCTGTGCCCCCCCCCCCATGATAATTAGGCTTTTAAAAGCCTCCAATAGTCCTTAGGAGACTTTATACACGATTCATTGCTCATAAGGTTACCTTGATGGTGCAGTGCAATTGGGAGGAGAAATGCAACCTTCTTTCCCTTATCTATAATCTTCTGGAAATGACTTCTCCTGCGTGGCAGTTCTGTTACAACAGGATTGTAGAATCATGCACTGTAAACATTGGAGATCACCTCTTCCAGCCCCTTGCCATGGCCACCCAGATTCTATTTCAGGACCTGCACTGTTGAATGGCTTTTACTGTTATAAAATGTTTCTTTATGCCCTGCTAAAATCTGCATCCTTGTAATTTAACCCCATTGTTTCCTGTCCTGTTTTGTGCCCCACCTTCTGCATGGCAGCCCTTCAGATATTCAAAGAGAGCTAACGTACCTCTTTGCAGCTTCCTCTTCCCTAGGCTAAACATGCCCAGCATTTCTTCCAGTCTCTTATCATCTTGGTTTCTTTTCTCTGGTAGCTTTTTTCCCCAAGCCTAATTTCTGCCTGCAGTGCTGGGAAGGGTCTCAGAGAAGGAGAAGAATTAAAATCTCCATCATGTATACTGTTATCTCCACTATATTTTAAATTAAGTTTGAAAGATACGTCCCGTTGGTACCTATATAATTTTCTTTTCAAGCCTAATGACTATGTGTGTGTGCACACAGAAGAGACATGGAGAGGAGGGCCTGGGGATCCCTCGTTTCTGGGCTTCTGACAAGTTTTAGAACCCAGATCTGGTGCTTCAGTGGGTGATGCTACAGACCCAGATGGTCCCATTTCATCTGAATCCATGTCCAAGTCATTAATTTATCATGACAAGCAGCACCCTTATGCAACAGAACTAACCACAATACAACATGTAAAGGATGAATCTTTATAAGCTTATTTCATTCTGTATTATGTCTATTAAGAGACAACAGTTTCTTGGGTGAGTTTCTTAAGGATCCTTCAGTTGTTGAAAAGAGAGTAACTGAAAATACAATAATAATATAAAATAGCAACTTACTATTAGTATAACTTAGTATTAGTATAACTTAGTTATACTTGGATGAATTACTTTTAACAGAGTTTGTGGTCATTTCTCGTTTATTAAAAGTTTAGGAAGTATAGATTACAGTAAAATATCCTTTTCAACCTGCAGTTTTCTTTTAAATGTTCATATTACACCTTTTCTGATATTTTGAAATCTTATTTTGAATTTCTCCCCCTCCCTCTTTTAGGATACTGGTATCAGCCTTGCAGATTATGTTGTAATGTATTACCTACGCCATTGTGATAAGGTATGTTTTTATCAACTACTGTACTGTATATATTATTTAAGGAGGTTCTGTGAAGAATATCCTATTCTGGTAGGAGAAAGGAAAGGAAGGGTACAGGGATAGCAATCTAGCACACAGTTGAGAAAAATTAAGCCCGTTGTTCATTATTTTGACTTTTTTGTGCATATCTTGGAATAACAGGTCATAAACTACATGTATGAACAAGGGTTCATTTCTCTTCCTATGTCTTCTAATCCCAACAGGACAGAGATCTTGTGGTTGTGTGATCCTCTTCAGAAAGCATAGTTATGTAATTTGGGGGTTCTTCTAGAGTCACCATTGTTATTGGAAGCAAAAGCCATGTCCTTGGTTTGGTATGCCTACTGCCAGGTTTGGCTAGTATACAGTTAAGCCTTTTTTTGGACTGAGACAGCATGGCTATGGTTGTTTACTCAGTTGTGCCTTCACGTTTTGATTACTGTGATATATTTTATGTTATATCACAGTATTGCAGCTGGTGAAAAAGCTGAATTTGGCACAGATTGTGATACTACTGTATTAGCCAGGTTGCTGAGGTGCTACCTTGATTGAAGCAACTGCATTAGTTGCCAATTAGGTATTGAGAAAGGTTCAAGGTTTTGATCATGACATGTAAGACCTTAAACAATTTGTAACCAGGATAATTCTCAGATCACCTTCACTGTTATAGATCTATAGTAATAGATATTCAGGGGAGGTCCTGCTATATATATCAAGAGATGCTGACTGTTCTCATAGGCAGACCTTCTCTATGGTGATACCTATGATCAGGAACGCTCTTCTCCTTAAAGTTCATTAAAGATATTATACTATCTTTTACATTTTTTTTTCTTCCTAGCATTTTCCCACAGGTGCAGGGTCCACTTTTTCAAACATACTGTCTTTATGCTATCTTTTACATGCCTGTTGAAAATTTCTCTGTCCAGCCCAGGCCTTCCTAGTTTGTATGTAGAAAGATGTTTTTCTTCCCATCTCCCACATTTTTAATGAATATGTTGTATTGAATAGTTTTATATTTTTGTTTTGCCCTGTTATAAGTATTATTTTATTACACAAGTTACTGCTGTTTTTATTGCAAGCCACTTCATGATTCTTCAGCACACAAAGCAAAATAATAATCATAAAACAGCCAAGATATTGCAATGGAGTTTGGACTGGACAAATGTGCCACCCTTACCATCAACAGGGGAAAAATAGGCTGTTTTTATTGCAAGCCACTTCATGATTCTTCAGCACACAAAGCAAAATAATAATCATAAAACAGCCAAGATATTGCAATGGAGTTTGGACTGGACAAATGTGCCACCCTTACCATCAACAGGGGAAAAATAGTGAAAACTGAAGGAATAAAAGATGCCCTATGGAAATAACATCAAGAGTCTGGATGAAGAAGATCACTACAAATACCTGGTCATCCTTCAGGCTGACAGCATCAAGCACACTGAAGAAAGTTGGTAGTGAATACATCAGAAGAGTGAAGATCTTAAAGTCCAAACTCAGTGGTGGAAACACCATCAAGGTGGTTAATACCTGGGCAATCTCAGTCATTAGATATACAGCTGGAATAGTGGACTGGATTCAAGCTGAACTAAAGGCTCTGGATAGGAGGACCAGAAAAATAATGATGATGAACCCTTCATCCACATAGCGACATTGACAGACTCTACTTACCAAGGAGCATAGGTGGGTGTAGAATATTGCAAGTACACCAGACAGTTGGAGAAGAAAAATGGGTATTGGAAGAATACCTGAAGGACAGTGAAGATTACGCACTGAAGCTATTACACCATGAAGGCTTACTGAATACCAAAGAGACCAAACTGGCCTATAAGAAAGACCAAATGAAGAATAGAAAAGAGACATGGGAAGGCAAAGTATTACATGGCCAGTACGCAAAAAAACTAACAGGCAAAGCAGATAACAAGACCTGACAATGGCTAAGAGTAAGAAAGTGGAAGAGACAGAGAAGCTAAGTCTGGCTGCACAAGACCAAGACTGATGGTGATTTTGTCGGTGCTGACGGTCTTCAGGTGGTGCTCTGGATGTTTTGGGATTGCACCCAATAGTAATCGGCACCTTGAGTGCGGTCCCAGAATAGTGCCGCTTGGGGGCCATCAGCATTGGCAGGATCACCATCAGTCAATTGCAAAAGGCAGCTTTACTTGGAATAGCTTATATCCCACGACAATACCTTTAGCACCATCAAACAACATCTGCCTATCTCAGGTCCTTGGGAAGGACTAGATAGGTGGATAAAAATACCAAACCCAGTCTAAACATCTGGATGACTGAGCAACCAACAATAATACGCACTGTGCTACTTCAATAAATGTTGGTTGAAATTAACATAACAATAAAGAAGAGTTCCAATAGTCCTTGTGGTGTCTGTTTCCTGACTTGGCCTACCTCAAATGGCAGATAATTGGATTTTCTGATAATTTTAAGTAAAAAATTAACAAACTAAATGTAGTTGTTTCAATTTTAAAAATTTCATGCTAAACATACAACATATGAATATAATTGAATACATGTTCAGAATATTCAAATTAATAATACACAGTGCAAATAAATAGTTAAATAATCTTATCATGGCTAATTAATACATATATTTTAAACTCTACTGGTCTACATAGAAGATTACTGCTATCCTTAAGAAATGTATTAATAGCAATTCATTTATTTATAATAAATGAATACAATAATAGATATTGAAATGTATGAAATTGAATGAAACTTAAATATTTTTCAAAATTCTACTTTTAAAAGATAGTATAACAACCATCCTTGCAATCTTTCATAGTTTTAATCATATTTATTAATATCTTACCTCATCTTTTATAATTTGTATTAGTTTTATCTGTACATTGTAATTGCTAATAAAATTATTATAAAAAATAATAAATAAAAAATCGACTTTTAGCGGGTAGTTTAATTTAACCATCCTTGCAATCTTTCATAGTTTTAATAATATTTATATTTTAAAGGAAGGGATTTGTAGATCTAGTGACATAACCTTTTGGATTTCTTAGAATTAAGAAACATTTAAAACCTTTATTTGAATACCTCATTAGATATACCGTACAAAGATCGTATTTAATAGTTATCTATGGGATCTAGATTTATACTCTATATTTATAGAGAACTATATTTTAACTTTCCAGTCCTAAGACACTGGAACTGTAAACTTCTACAGACCAAAATCTCTGTGATGAAGTGAAGGTTTCCATAAGTAGAAAATAAAAGGGGGATTGTTATTTCATCATTCTTCCTAAGCGCCCCTCAAATCTTGTGATAGTGGTGAATAATGGCACATAAAACTAAAGAAGAAAAGGGAATATTTAAAAAATCACTCCTTCTCCCTTTATGCTTACATAATCCTTCTCTGGATTAAAGAACTTCCTGTGAATGGCAAAACACAGTTACAAGCCATTAAACTACAATTAAAAATTAGGATTTGCTTATTCAAAGATAACTTTATATCTTCGTTTTCCTTGCATGTTAGGCAATGCTTTTCAATTAGGTGCCAAGGCTAAGATGAATGGATAAACAGAATACTTAAGTGATGACTAGAGGAGCTACTATTAATTAACCAGACACTTTTGACATTATCCTCATTTAGGGAACTGTGGAACTAAATAATGCTGCCAAACATAAATCAGCTGTCTGTGACATCATAAAAGCTTGATATTTCCATGAGATTTTATTCTCTCAAAGGTGGCACCTTATTTGTCAATTTATTTGCTGGATTTGTATTCTGCATTTCTAACTGTGATAGCCTGCTAAGTGCATCACAGTACAAATCATGCAATTAAGAGCCATTAAAAACATGGTTCAAACACAAAAAATCCTACATTGATAAAATAGTCTGCACTCAGTCAAATAAAATTTTACCTCAAGAGCCACAGAGTTTGCCCATCAGAGATCTGCCAGTAGACAGATAACCAAGAAGGAATTTAGAATCTTTGGCAAGAAATTCTACAACTTAGAAGTAAAGCCCAAGACAGAAGGACGTATGAAGAAGGGAAAAAGCTGTGTAATTGTAAAGGAAATAATGGTTGTACTAGGATGATGAACTGACTTTTACCAAGAAGATGCTAAAATATTACTACAAATGTAATTTGTGTTCCCCTGGAGATGACAGGTATTTCACTAGGGACATTCCAATGTGTCTTCAGGAGAAAAAGGGATCTGTGACCTTGCATCATTTATTTGTATTTATAATTCATGAAACGTACGTATTTGTTTCAGTAGGATGTATGGCATTGTTATGCTTATCGGTTTTAACTTTCTTATTTAGGAAGCAGGAACAGAAAAGAGTGTATTTCCACTGCCAGAGCCACAGGATTTCTTCCAGGCATCTCAAGTAAAATTTGAAGACCTGATAAAAGATTTAAGAAAACTAAAGAGAGATCTAGAAGGTAAATAAAAATCTAATTTCCTTTTGAAAATTTGCTTTGGGGCTTCTGATCAATCCAGTCTTCTGAAATCTTTTTGGCAAATCCTGCCAGTAAATTGGCTTTGAATTGTAGCTTTCATTAGATTACTGCTGTGTGACTTGTACTATAGCAAACCCTATGTTATTAATTTATCACAGTTAAAAACAAAGCCAGCAATAAATATTTTTCATAATGTTAACTTTAGTTCTTCAATCTCAAAAGAACATTGCATTTAAGAACCTTAAAGAATATTTGCTTTAAGAATGTGAGTTCTAAGTAATTGTCTTCTAAGTTTTCAATGATGTTGAATTTAACCTTGTAGATGAGGGAGGCCAGTATATATATATTTGCTATAATTTTGTAGCAGTATTCAGTAACTCCTTATGACCTCTGGATAATAATAGAAAAGTTGAATAAAATAAGCAATTTTGTATCCAGTTGACATAATTTACATATCAGTAAAGACAGTGCTTGCAATGCAAAGCAAAATTCCATTCCAAAACGTTAAGCTCCTTTTAAACAGAATAGTGTCTTGGCTGCAGCAGGTAGAACTGCTGTCAAAATATATTCTCAGAAAAGCTTCTACTATTTATATGGTCTAATTGCTTATAGATCAAGCACATTGCATCAGGCCATTTTCCAACAAAGGAAACAAGAATTTCAAATCTAGACCTTCTGCTGTGAGTTAAATGAGATTAATAAAACAGTCATTTGCATTGATTTTTTAAAAAGTAGATTGGCAAAATTAAATTGGGAGCTGTCATAAATTACAACTATAGATACAAGACATTTGTAATGCATATAGGTTATTGGTCATTTCTGTCCTCTCTAAACAGAATTTTTCTTGATAACTTTAAAGTTGAATGGGATGATTCTCTCCATAGTAGTCAATAAAATTTGTCATTAAATAATTTATTCTTCTAGTTAGCTATGGCTGAATTAGCTCATGTTTGTCCTAAAGAAAATTTCAAAGGTCACCAGTGGTAAGGAAATATCAGTTATTGTTTATTTAACCTTGGCATCCACAAATGCTCTATCTCCTCTCATCTCTTGGTTCTGTTAAACCCGCTTGGCCTGCCCTCTCCTGTGCTTGTTCATGCTGAAATATGATCTGCATTTGATCTTCCATTTTCCAAAAGTATTGTTCTCATGCCATACATTTGACATGCTCGAGCAGTGATTGTTATAGCAGGAAGTCAGTAAAATGCTGGTTTTATTGCAGTTTTTAATATCATTGCATATTACTAAAAATGAATACACAGAAGAATTTTTCAGCCTTTTTTTTTCTATCTCAGCTGTTGATTTCACAGCATATTGAAATAAACTTTATTCTCCTCTAGGATACAAGTCATTTATATTTCCATGTGTCTTTATTCGGTTCAACCTTACTACTCGTGCTATAGTAATTTAAAACAATTGATTAAAAAAAACTTACCTAATCTAAGAATCATAACCTGGTAAAAGAGAAGTAGAATTTTGCCATAAATTCTGATGGAAGCAAATTTGGGAATTTTGCTACAGTGGATTTGTGGCAGATTCATGATGAAACAAAACTGCCTGGAATCAATTTTGTCTAGTGTTCATCCTAAAAATTAAATTAAAAAAAATGTCCCCTGGATGTGAGGTTAATGTCTGAAGGTCATTTTAATTTAATCAAAATTATCTGGTAGACCATGGAAGAAGAAAGTGGAGAAGGAGCTTTCGGTCAGTTGTTACAAATAACTGGAGAAAGACTGATTAAAAATGGAAGCTGAATAATAAGAGATAAAGATTCCTTCTGCAGAAAACATACAGAATTCTCCACAAGAAAAGAGATTGCTAAATGAAATTCTGTTTTAAAAAGATATTCATTTTACTCTAAATTCCAATTCTTGAATTTATTATGTTAACATTTGAACTGTTCCAGTGATACATTTAGCATCAATTCTGCTCGGTCCCACATAGTCCAGGGCAGAGTGTATCGTCTCTTTGTGAACTCAAAATTCAATCTTATGTTCCACCAAAAGTAACAAGAACCTGGAGTTAAAAACTGTGTTTTGGTTACCATCAAGAACTGGAATTTACAGTAAATAAAAAGTGTCTTTTTCCTTCAAATAACTATTTTTGTACATAGTTAGACACAATACCATGTGAAATGTTTTAATTGAAAAGGATATTGTTTTAGTATGTGCACAAAATATCTGATGAATCTATGTAGTTTCTGGCAGCCATTAAAAAGCTGTGGCTGTTGGCAAAATACAAGTAAAAAACCTAAAACTGAAACAGATGTGCTTTGCAAAAATTGTGTTCATAGGCTACGTCCAGCTATCTAGACAAGCACAGAATTTCATATATATTTTAGGTGGACAATTTTAATATTAGCTATTTATATTATAGATGTATAGATACACATGCTGGAACTACTCATTTGATTAACCATATATTTAAATTACTTTTACTAATATTTAAGAGTTTTACCATTTACACATTATTATTTAGATCATATTAATTTATTATATGTTATAGTTTCAAAGTTTTGATCATTCTGAAATACTGGAAACTATCCTTAGTTGTAATTGCTGATGTTCAAATAAATGTTAATGCATTTGCATCTATTAATACAAAGATAGTTTCCATCATCAGGAAAAACAAATATCTATGAACGACATAAAGAAAAACTTTAAAAGTTGGTGATTTTTTTTATTTCAGTAAAAACAGTTATTTCACTTAATGTCTTTTTCACATCAGATATGCATGCAGAGAATTTATGTCAGAAACCTTTGCTGAAGTCAAGCTTCAATTGTATTCAAAATAATGTTTTAACAAAATGTTAAAACTGTAACAGTTAAAAGCTAGAATTCAAATGAACTCTTCCCACCAATTCCTACATACCATAGAACCATAAGTTCACATATCAATGGGTTCACTGATAGAGATGTAGCAAAGTTTTTTTTTTAAGGATAATACTCCAATTAAAATATTTAAAAATATTTAGTCCAAGCATCTCATGTTCATGTCAGTGCAATCATATATTCCTAGTTGGTAGAGTGTAGGCAACACTCTGTGCTTTATAAATTAGTCTCTAGATTAGAGATAGCATGAGCTGCTTTCACTAAAACTGGGTTTTGGTTGTTTTGTGGCACACTGACACAAAGTTTGCCAAAAGTGACTGGTACTGTCCTTATCATTAGCACTAGCCTGCACTTTCCCTATCTTACCATAAAGTCAATTGACCAAAACCAGGATGAGTATTGGGAAGTCATTAACTGTAGTCCTATTTGAGGACTTGAAATTGAAGAAAATAAAATGTTAAGGAAGCATGAATTAACAATTTAAATGAAAGAAAAATGGGTAACGTAAAGGTCTGTGAAACTGGGAAGGAGGAAAGATATAATGAAGATGGTCTGATCCTAAGGGGTGGAGTTGAAGAATCCATACAAGGAAGTGAAGATGTAGATTCCATTATGAATGAAAGGGCTAAAATGTATGTTAGAAAGTGTGAATTTATGTCATCTAGGTTGTTGTGAATGTGTATGAAAGTAGAAATCCATGAATTGATGATCATTTCATATTATACTCCACTGAATCAGGTCTAACTCTAGAATGTTCCAAATGCATGAGATCCACATGAAAGATTTTTCTGTCAAGTGACATGAATAGATGTGAAAGAGATGAAGAGAGTACAGAAATTGTTTTTGGATCATGATCCAAGCATGAATGAGAATGGTGATTTTGTAGTAAGTATCTGCTTAGGAAAAGGCCCCTTTCAAATACATGGTTTAAGCATAAATCTCTTCACATGAATGTAAATGTAAAAGCATGATTGTTTTGATGTTTATGATAAAAAACTGAGCTGGTAAGGAGAGGTCCTGAATGTGAGACTGGTCATTTCTTGGCAGCGTCAAGAGTAGATCTTGGGGAGAAATGGACATAAAAGTAAGAACAACCAGAAGAAAAGTAGAATGACTGCAGGAAGAGAAAGTATAAGTTCCTGTATGAACAAATATTAGAAGATAGATTAATCACCCAACAGAATGAATGGAAAGTGGACATAAAGAAAGAGGATGTGAAAGCTGCTTGTGTTACATAGTGCCACAGAAATGTGTGGACTTACGCTGATGGGATGCGTGCGGATAAGAGAGCAATACTGTGTACTGGGTATAGGCAGAAAAAGATTGTTGCAAAGAATGAAATCAAAGAGAACAAAGAATGGCTAACATTAAAAGAGAACATGCAGAGCAATTCTGATGGAAATAAAGAATTGGAAAGTTGGTGAAGGGGGCTAAACAAGGAAATTCTACAAAAGCAAATTAAGAATAAAAACGGTAAAATGGTCTGTAATGAAGTGAAGTAAGGGTATGCTGGAAGGAACATTTTCAGACAAGAATGCATTATGATTATGATATTTTTGATAGTGAATGCTTAGGAAAGTAATATCTAGGATAGAAATGCTATAAATCTTAATGCCCAAGAAAAATGCTGAAAAGGAAGTCATAAACCCTGTGGGAATGTTAAAAAAAATGATAAGGTTGCATGTGTAGATAGTGTAACTGGATAAGTATTAAAATATGGATATAATGGCTTTATGGAATGACTTTAAAATTTGTTAATGTGTGAAGACTTATCTATTATTCTATGTCTTGAGTGACGGACAATGAATCTTGAATTATTTTGTGCAACCTTTCAGGGATTGGAAAAGTCCCATCATTACTCTCCATCAGTCTTCTCAAGGCAAAACATTTCCAAAATCTTCAACTTCTCTTTTCTTGGAATTTAGTTTTCAGCCCCTGGCCATCTTTGCTGCCCTTCTCTGCCTCTGTTCTAGATCATTTAAATACTTCTTCAGCCAAAATATAGAGAATTAAACATATAGTTGAGACACATAGTTAACACACAATAAATGAGGCAGCTACTTCCCATGTAGTATCTTTTCTGAAGATTTGTTGAAAATGAAAGTAAACTTAAACAAGAACAAAAGGGTCAACTTATCAGAAAACCAGTGT